TATATATATATATTGTTTCAAAGTCATTACAAAAATAACGTCAATTGATAAAAATTGAGCTTTTACTTTTAGGAACCTCTTAATTTTAATTTACCGGATCCGGGTCTGGTAAACTTAAAAGGTTTTTTTTACTGAAAATAAATAAAATAAACTCAATTTAAAAGTGAATTTTCGACAGTTATGCTGCAAAATTCAGTACCTTAAAACAGCAATCGTATATAAAAATCAGAATGTGAATGACGTTTTAAACTAGATACGAGTTAGATATAAAGATGATGTTGACACTACGTATCAAGATATACCATGAAATCGATAGCGTACGAAAAAGCTATCGTGAATTCAATTTATGGATATGTTAGCATCTACTTATACGGTATTATTTACCAGAATCTACCGGATATTGCATAGGATGCATCTTATTATAACGAAGATAAATCCCTACTTTACTTTGATCTGTACTTCCAGATTATCAATAAAGCATCTTATGAATTTTCTATGAGAGACGAACGCGTCAATGGCAAAATAAGATAACAAAAATTATATATATTGACGGTATTTCGAACAAAATATGAATTTTAATTAAAACTATAAAGGTTAAGATTTAATTAAAAATTATCAATATTAGAATCTCTCTATTCTTTTCCGTCCTAAAAGAACGGAATAAAAGAGTTTAAAATGGCAATAGATGGCATGTTTCTGTTTCGGACCGTAGAATTGAGAGAAAAAAACTCCAGTGAAGCGCGGCGAGGGAAAAAAGTAGGCTATAAAAATATACTGTCTTTCTTATAAGAAGATTTATATTCTCGTTTAAAAGCTAAAATAACAGCTTTACCTACAATCAAACTCCGACCTCAGCTTAGAAATAGAGTAGAAGTTTTGACGTATTCCCTTGATGGTTATTTATTCTTTCCGAAAGCTATCAATAAAATAATGGATAGCAAAAAGATTCACTAGTGATTTACTGTTTCATATACTTCTACCTTCTGTTTAATCAGAGTAAATCTATATCAATGGATTTTCAAGTTTGGTTTTTATTCTATTTATATTTTACAAATAAAAAAAAAGCAACGAAAATGATTTCGAAAAATTTTTAAACTCGTTATTAAAAAGTTTCTGTTCTTCATATTTTGACAAATCGTTCAAAAATTTTGCTAAAATATTTCTTCCGAAGAATTTATTTATCCAATAAAATTTATTCATTGTTGAAAAAACAAACGAAAATTGTGTATGTTCTGGTTATAGAAAGGAGCAAATGTCGTCATTTTTTTTCAATTTCTGCAAAGAGAATATTAAAAAATCACGTGACTTTCTGTGCAACTACCAAACAGAATTCCAATCAATCATTTGATAAAGAGCTCTACTAAAATTATGTCGTACGAACATACAATAAATTTGTAAAAAAAATTAAATATTTGACAATGTTTATACAGTAGATAACATAATTTAAAATCTAATTATATAATTGGTGAAATTATAGAAGTAATAATAATGTTGTATATATATATATATGAAGATCCACTAGAGTTTTTATTTAGATTATGCATGAAACTGTTTTATAGATTTCCCCAATTAATCATTAATAATAAAGATTGAAAAGTATAAAATTTCTTTTAGTAATAAATATGAAAATTGCAGACAAAAGTAACGGGAATACGATACGTAAAACTGTGGAAAGAAATTGGTAATAGTGCAAGTTTATAGACGAAAGAATGGGAAAAAGTTTGAAGAAAATTTATATATATTTACTGCAGTTGTTGGGAAATGTGCCAATGTGCTATAGTATAGGGCACTATCGCTATCTCTTGGGCATTGAAACACACGAGATGCACTTTTTTAAAGTTTTTAAAGTTCTTTTTTCAGACGAGCTTTCAGACAGTTAATAAGAAAGTTTACACTAAAAAAGAATAAAACTGCAGTTTATTTTGCTATTAATTTTATTAAAAAGTTATATAGTAAATGTAAACAAACAAATCTTGAATATTCTCCATATAATAATAAGTAAATCAACTAATATAAACAGAAAAGATGCTTATAACGTAGTTTGTCACGTAAATATATAGCTTTGAACGTTCTTATATGATAACTATTTAAAATTTTTATATGTAGATGTAATTGTTGTTAAAACATATTTATTGAAGCATATACTTTCGAGAAGTTTTGATTCTATCAACTCCTTATTTTCTTATTTAATCTAAAATTTTAATATGAAAATTTTTAAATATAAATTTAATTAAAAAAAACATCATTAAAATTTACTTACGCTCCAACGAGATAAAGATTAGATTTAAGAAGAAAGGAAAATTATTTTCGCCCTTTTTTGCTCTTCTGGTTATATTTTAAGAAAATAAGCATGTTAAATCACATATTAATAATCATTTTTCAATTAATTTGACGATTTCGTCTAGTTTTTTTTAATAAATTTATAAGTTTTTCTTTCTTATTTTAATATACTTTTTCTTTCCTTATTTGTTCACATAATGGCAAAATATTTTGAATGTTTTCAATAATTCTCAAAATTTCTTTAACTTTCTGAAATGAGAAAAAAGTTTATAAAAACATTAATAATTTGCCAAATTATACTGGATTACTAATACTAATGACTGAAGTAAGTTAATAATAATAATAATAAGGTATTGAAAACATATATCTAGCCATAAATTGATATTTTTAATGAATTAATAAGCTAGATTAAATTCAGAAAATTTAGAATTGCTTGAAGCAAAACTAAAATCTAGTGTTTATATGTTGCTTATTAGGCCATTGAAAAACATTAATAATTGTTTAAATAATTCTAGTGCAGCTAAAACTGAGAAACCAAATCTATCAATCTTGCCAGATTTGAGTTAGCCTTCCAAATTGACTAAATGATATATCTTCCAAATTAAATAATCATATAATAGTTATCTAACTTAAAAGAGAAACTTAAAATAAAAAAATATAATTTTCAAATATATAAAAACACATTTTATATTTAAAAAACTGACAATTTTTGAACTTTTCTCTATATCATATGAATAAAGAGAAAATTTGAGTTAAGCTCAGTTTATGCTGTCATATGAATCACTACAAATGAAAAAAATGAAATATTGTCCACATTGTAGTACATGACACAAATTAAGTTAGGATGGAATGGTTAAAAAGCTTTGAAACACTAGTGAAAAGTTGATTGGTCAAACAAATTGAAGTCTGGAAAAGTTGAGATGTTCTCAACTCCTAACAAACTGGTCATATATTTTCTGAAAAGAGACAAACTGGCAGTTTGTATCCACTTCATAACAGTGCATATGCNCTATATTGTAGTAAACTTAATTAAATTTATTAGCGATTTGTTAATTACATACTGATAATATCATTGGAAAAAATATTAAATCTCTACACTTAATATAGGCCTATATTTGTAGATTATTGAACGAAAACTCTTAATGATATTTAATAGAAAATAGTTTATTTAACAAAGTTAATTTTTAAAAAGTATTTTAAATCTTCTATTACTGCTTGGAATTTTGTTTTTATTTTTGTTTTTTTAAAGGAAAATGGGCTTTTAACATTAGATTTTTCTTTACTTTCCGCGCTTTCCGATTTAACCGTTTAATTAACTTCTGATGCTAAACTTTTCTGTTTTGTTTAGCGTATTTTAATGTAACTTTTCCGATTTTTAATATAAAAATTTTTAATTTTTTAACTAAAAACTTTTAGCTTCTTAAAAATTATAAAATAACTTCAATAAAAACTTTTTATTCTCTAGAATTTCTGCATGAAGATTTAGTTACATAAGAAGAAAAGTCATAATGTTTTCATCTGTTTCTACTAATTGACAATTAGTTATGCCTTAGTTATAGTGATTTATTAATGTTATATTACTCTATAATTCATATAAAAAAAACTTTAACTAAAGTAAAAGTTGAACTTTCTAATAATAAACATTGTACTTTCTATCGGTAATTGTTACATGGACAATGAAAACCAATAAATCGAAGACCCACCGAAATGACCAATTGTTCTTAGGAATCCAACATCACTAAAGTTTCATTAAGATCCTCATAGGAAGCAATTACAAATACAGCCACTGATGATATTGATAGAGTAATATTGATAACATGCCCATTACAGCGTCCAAATTGTAAGAATATTCGTATAATAATATTATTATTGTAGTCTTGAATTATTTTAATTAATGCGCTAAATTTATCAATTAAAAATACCGATTTATGTCTTTAAAATAAAAGATGCAAATTCATTTAACTGATAATTTTGTGTAACTTTACGTATTAAAATTTTGCGAATTTAAATAATAAATCTATTAAAAGTTGTTTTAATTATATTAAACTAATAATTTTTCTGTTCTTTTGTCTATCGTTTCGTAAGATTTCCTTTTAGTTTAATTTAAAGTAAGTGCTAAAGACGTTAAACCCGGTTTTATGTAATCCTATGAATAAAAAGTGGTTACAGACAATTAGAAAGAAATATTCGCAGAAGAAAATCCTCGAACATTTTTAGAATTGCAAATAAGAAAATCGTTTCTAACCAATAAAACATCTAAACGAATAGCATTTTTAAAGCTCGAATTTATTACATTTCTTCTCTTTTCTTAACGGAAATTAACCACACGATCATTTCATTAAAGTTTAAACAAATTAAGCTTCTGAGAATCATGTGATATGTAACAAAAAATATTTTTTTAAACGTAACAATACAAGTAATACGTGCTTTTATATCGTAATAATACAAAACTTTCGAACCAGTATGTTAAGCATTGTGAGGAATTTCGAAGTTTAATTCACTCTTTTCTATTGAAAATATATAATTTATCTTACGAAGATGCTACCAAAAGAATACAAAGGAGCATAACTCGGTAGTATAAGTGCTGACCATGAAGAAAATACTTATTATATGTGATTCACATCACGTTCTCACATGAAAAGGTTAATACGAATAGCCCTCATTTTTTCTATTTTTATTTCATATACTGTATACTTCTACTAAAAATTTCCCGCTGAGGAAATGAAAAGATCACTTCCTTAAAATTTTCGAGTGGTTTTTTTTCAAATTGGAAATTATACTCGGATAAAAATTAAAATAATAATATATAACTTTTAATTGAATATATACATTTGTTTAATTTAAAATATTTTACATATAGACTCAGACTTAATTCAAAATTAATTTGCATAATTAACTTAAATTTTTTAAATGATATTCAATAGAAATTTCCATATTAAAAACACGCATAAACAAAATAAAATTATTTTCGATTTCTTAAAATATAATAATAGAAATAGTATTTTTAGTCTTAAACGATGGCAAAGTTAAAATTTCGTGAAATATTTCTAATTTTTCCGATATTTTTATGCGTAGAAAGATAAGTAGAGAGCATTTATATCCGATAAACTTCAATGCCAAGTTTGTCTATATCGTTTAGAAGACATTCGGTGTATTGACCTTTTGTGCAGGCGCAACGAAAAACATCTATAATATCTTTCTCTTTTCGATTATTTGGAATTTATCGAGGTATTTTTTGTGTAAAGTTGACCAACGACTTACAAAATAAGCTTGCTCTTAAGCTCGATAGGTTTATTTTTAAATTGTAAACTTAGATAGTGAGGCACGAGGAATATATCTTTTTTTTTTTTTAACATAGACAATTGATGCGTATTTCAGGAAAGATGTTAAGAAACATCACACAAGCGATACTTACAGCCAGTTGATCGGCGAAAGTAGCATTCTCGGCTTTCCCCTGTCCATCCTTTTGTTGATTTCCGCTATTGTTAACTTCTCTCTCCCTTTTAGAGTGGACATTGGACATTCCCCCAGCTGAGTAATTCATGATGTTCGACTTAGAAATCAGCACAGGACACTAGAGGGATGATCTGCACTGCAGCACTGTACAACGTGGTCCGGTCAACTTCTGCGCACATTCGGTACGCAGTGGTTGCAACAAGACTTAGTGAACTCCGGTCGTATATCAACGCTTTATATTGCACTTCTGTTCACAGAATGCTGCGTCAAAACACGTGACACCGACCACGTGTTACCACGTCATATCCTAGAGTGGCGTTGCTGTATTAAGAGGCTAGAGGGCGTATTAGAGTGAGCAGTCTCTGTTTCCCTTCTTTATCGGATGTGAACACGTGATTTTATTCGAAAGTGTTAAAGATATGCTTTTTATGGAAATATAGTTAAATTACATATCGTAAAAGGATATTTACATAAATATAATCTATCTCAATAGGGAATTTCAAGAGGAGTTTAATATATTTCATTAGAATTAATGCGATTTCACTAAATGTATGCAACAAGGAAAAACTTGAGATATGTGAATTAAAAGATTCATAACAAAAACTTTTCAGATGGTTATACTTCAGGTAATCTCATTTAATTTAAAATTCTTCGGTGTTTTTTAATAAAATATATCGCATTAAAAGATTATAACTTCATTTATAATTCAACGAATTCAACTTTTTATTTGTTTTTCCCCTTTTAGAATATGGCATTTTATAGATATACTTAAAGTTTAAAAGTTTATAAATAAAACCTAAAATCTTAAAAAACATTTATTAAATTCCTTTTGAAGTTTACGTTTTATTTATTCATCAATGATATTATACAATTAATATTTCATTTGTATAGAATAATAATATCTAATATTTTTCTTATTCATTTATAAAGGATGTTGCATTTGTGTTTAATAGAGTTTTATCTCTAGAAACTTAAATTAAAAGAATTTGTACATAATATTTTATGTAAAATGTTAATTATTAATACCGTAGGATACCTTAGGTTTAACGAAATAATTGGGGTCTTCTCTTACCGAAAGAACGTTAAAACAAATGCGTTTTAAAAGCATATATTAATAACGAATGTGCTGTACAGAATGTATTAAAACATTGTTAGTCGTTGGTTTATCTTGTATCGTGCTTTATCCGAGAATAAATTTAAAATAATTCTGCTTTTTTCTTTATGACAGAAATTTTTTATCCGTTAAATCCGAAGTCCATTAAATCAAGAATCTATTGTATTTTTAAGAAAAAACATACAAGTTTAAAATCGAATTCGAAAACGAACATCATCTTCTGAAAACTTCTAAAAATATGAATTATTCGTATAAAAATAAATGAAGATAACTGGTATATACAAGTAAACATACAAAATTAACTTAATATTTATCTTAATTTTTAGAGAATTTTTTTCAATAATTAATCAAATGTGTATTATTATTTAATATTATGTACTTTTTCTTAAAGTGGATGCTTTTATGCAGGGCCGCCGAGAGCTTATATGGGGCCCTCTCTGTCTTTTACCATTTTTTTGAACAAATGATACATAGAATGTTTCTTTATTTAAAAGCTGTCTTAAAGATTTTTTTCTTAGTAAAAATAATATTAATTTATACGGGTGAGAACCACTACGGGCCCTAAGTTTTCTCCGGTCATGGGAAAAATTTTCCAGCTTCCCTCTCAATGACCCTGCCTTTATGAAAATTTTGATTCATCCAAGCGGTTGCCTATATGTGACATCACACCTGCTGAGTGCTGGCCGAATGCCATCATTTATCACGCCTGTAGCATTTCTCGACAAAGAAAAAGTCGTCTACTACATCACATCAGTAATAACCATCTAATTACATTCATTGTTACCCGTAAATGCAGTCTTTGATAACTTGTTCTGCCTTATTTTTCAATCATTTTCGCCCGTACTTACACGCCAGATTAGTTTAATGTCAGGATAATATTCGAATTAATAATTAAAGTTTAAATTATATTAATTTTACTCGTTGATAACTAATTATTGGCGTTTTAAGATTAAGAGTCGCGACATAACCTCGATGACATTAGTTTAAACACGTAATCATTAATAATCACATTAATTCTAAGCCTACACCAAAGAGGAACGGTTGTATTTTTAATTGATATACAAGCTATTGACAAGTTAGATATTTCACTTTAATGTCTCTACTTTTTTATTTGAGTGAGAAATTCGTCAATTTTAATAAATCAATGCATTTATTCGTAGTATTAAGACATCATAAATGCTAAACATCCAATGCCAATGCTCTAATTATACATCAGTAAACAGACAGATTACATTTTTAACAATAATATATAACAATAATAATATTTTATTTCAAAAACTCTTGCACTAAATAAAGACACTTAATCTATTTTTATTTGTTCAAAATAAATAATTTATCTATTTACCAGCATTTAGGGATTGCCCATAAATTATATAACGCTATTTTTATACCTTTCAACTACCATTTTACTTCCCTTAATGCTCTATAAAGTTCGCATTAAGCTCCGTAACGTAACTTAATGCATATATTCTGCCCCAAAATTATGTAACGCATATCGCCTATCAACTCCCTTCATTTTAACTAATAAATAATCCACAGCACTGAGTAGCCTACCGAACTTGGAGATTATTTTATTAATTACATACAAAGCAATGACAGCACTTCAGAAACAAAAATTAATCATTCTTTTACCCAAGGGTTGAGATTCTAGCATTACGTAACGTTTTTGTAAGCACCCCAACCCCTTGTAACGCATCGTAACGATTACCTGCATGACCATCCATATTTGTTTTACGTAATTATACAGTATGTAATGTACAGTACAGTAAAACTACTAAAATTGTAAATGATATAATATAAAATTTGAAATTTATTTTTAGACTTTTAATGCTTAAGATTAAGTAAAAATAATCGAAATTAATTTGAATTTTACTTCAATATTTAGGAAGAATGTAGCGCTTTAGAATTATAAACAATTGAATAAATTATTGAAAAAATATCTTATTTATTTATTTATTTTTGCAAATATTATTTAAAAGCATAGTCACATAATTGAATATTTTTCACAGATTTTTAATAAAAATTTTAAAAATAACGTAGATAAATTGGATTTTGATATACCATAGAAGATGAATGATCTTGTATTAGAAAGATTGGATCAGGAATCAGGATGATCCAATCTTTCAATTAGTTCGGGAGCCAAATTATGTCTCTAATCTTAAGTTATGAGCTGGAGAAATAACTTTTTAAACTGGAAAATAAGACATTTTAAAATTTTAATTATATAAAATATAGCTAAACAGAATTTTAATGAGTAAACTGATTAGTATGTTGGCTTGTTAAAGATTCAACGTCAGTTTCCGTTTATGCGATGACAAGTTTGTTTGACCATTAACAATATAGATTATACATAAATTAGCAATGAATATAGGTAATCCTTGTAATCAAAAATACATTTCTTCTTTTAAAAATGAATATAATTTTAAAAAAATTAATTATAGAGTTACATTAATTTTATTAATTGAATTTAGGCTAATACAAGATTAATAATTTAATTTTAAACACAAAATACGGTTAATAATCACTTAAACAGCATTGCTTTTAGTGAATGTATATAAAAATCTCATCAAAAGAAATTATAAAAGAAAATTCATTTGTCATCTCTTCTTGAATCAAAAACTATCTCTGCATCCTTCAGTTTTTCTGTGAAGGTAATACGAATATATTAGAAAAGTTGATATAACCTGTTAAATATATATATATTTAACACGTTATATAAACTTAGAACAGAAATAATTTAAAATATATATATATATTAACAGCGGCGGCCTTATCCATTGCGAGGCTCTGGGCGGCAGATCTTTGCGAGGCCCTTGTCCTTTGTGCAAAGTATGTGAATTGAAATAGTAGGCACTTATTAATATTAATATATACTGTACTATAAATTAAATTTATTTTATTGTTATAACTAATAGCCAAGGATAAAATAAAAAGTTTTAAATATCAACTTTTTTCTACTTGGTTGTTGCGCGAGGCCCCTCCAAGAGCGAGGCCCCGGGCGATTGCCCTGCTCGCCACTCCCTAAGGCCGCCACTGTATATTAATATATCTCCCTTTTTATATGCTATATTATTCACGTTGTTTATTAATACATTATATATAATTAAAATGCTAAATATGGCTTAATTTGAAAGTATATTTAAAATAAAATGTATTAAAATCCATAAAATATAATTTTATTATTATTATTATTATTATTATTATTATTAGTTGTAAAATGTTTTTTGATATATTTATTGACGGTAACACATAAGAAGTATTTGGAATCGCTATTCTGTTTCAACATAATAACTTATATATTTAAATGGAAAATATCATTGAATTATTTAAAAGACGAACCGGATAATATAGAATTTTAAAGTTGTTTTTCTTATTTATTTTCTTAAAAATACGATTAAAAAAACTTTTCTTTATATTTAAATAGTTGACAACGTTGCTGCTAGATATATTTTTAATTTGTTTTCATTCCTAATAATTGCTATCATTACCTTTAAGTCTTCAGATTTACATGAAATTACTAATACGAATGATTATTCGTAAATGGGGATCATTTAACAACTTTTTAAATATGACTCTTCCCTTCTCTTTAGAAAATAAAGATCTTACGGTCTAATTTCGATAAAAATAGGGATTAATTTAATAGTGATAAAAAATAAAATTTGTGATTAATAACACAAAAAATATATTTATCTCAAAGAATTTTATTTTAAAAAATAGTTTTTATATTTTTACCCTGAAGTTGATGTTGGGAAAATATCAGTTTCTAAAAACTATTTTATTAATACTGTATATTGGCTGTATACTGTATATTGAAAAAGTTAGAACTCAGCCAGTTTATTCTATAAAAAGTTATTTTTAAAAAAAACATTTAAAAAAAAATTAATATTGAGAGTGAAGAGGATTTTTGAGAAAACAAATTCGAAAGAAGTACAGTACATTTATTTTTTGGTAAACTAAAAATTTGTGCGAGTAAAAAACATTTCATAACTTGGAAGCTTCTTGAGATACGATTTCATCCCTTTAATATCTCCCGAACCAATGGTCTGATTTTTTTAAAAATTAGTAAAAACATTTCCTTCTAATACACAAACCTCACTGAAAAATTTCAGAAATTTTCGACAAAAGGCACGGGAGTTATTAAGCTTGAAAGTGGGTGAGAAAAGTCATGCCATCCTCATACATACTAATATCCATACATATAGAAAAAACCTAACTTTTGCATTTCTCGACGTTTCAAGGCTTCCCGAGTCCAAAAATGTAAAAATCTTGCGGGGTCGTTTTTGGCCGATCGTCATACTTCTCTGTTATATAAAAACCAGCAGGAAAAGTCAAAAGTTTATACTGTATTTTTATTAAGACTTGTATATAAAAAATGCATGTACTATACAGTATTGTACTGTAAATTATACAATTAAACCTCTGAAAAAAGCCACTGAGAAGAAAACAAAAAAAAATGGCCGCCGTTTAGAAGTGGCTGTTATTAAAAGTTCGACTATTTTTGGGTTTTAAAAGTTTTCGTCGTTAAGATTCATTGATTTTATAGAATCAAGATCAGTCTATAAGAATGCATTAGATATTGAAGAAGCTTTAATATTAAAGCTTTTAAATTTTTAATAAGAGCACGCTATTATAATATTTATTTGCGTTAAAAAAAAAACAGAAAATTTGAATCAATTCGTGATATTCGAATTTGATTTTAAATTTTCTATTTGACTAGAAAACATTCGTAAAATAATAGGAAATTTTTATTTATTTTTTTTATCGATTTAATGAATATGTTTTAAAAGTTTTTATTTATAAATATAATAATTTTAAAGTTTGATGAAAACTCTAGAATATAACAAATTGAAAAGTCTTTTTATTTAATATTAGGCAAATTAAATAAACGATTATCTTTATTATATTTAATTAAACTGTGTGATATATTATTTGAAAACAATTTTTTTATTTCTATAATTCGAATTTTAGCATTAAAACGGTGCTTAAAATTCTTATTTTATTTTCTTTATTTGCTTCGATGTTTTTGCAAAACTTAATCTGAGAAACCTTTGAAGCTAGAAGCTATAACTTTTCACAATATTGTCAAATTCAATAATAAAATGGTATAATTTATTCTTTCGTAATGATACAAATATATAAATTTTAAGAAGAAAATTAGAGTTACATTGATATTTCTTTAAGAAATATATTTTTATATCCCACTATAAATTGTTATGAGACGTCAACAGGAGTATGATAAAAGCTTATCAGTTTTTCATACAAACATAAACCCAAGAATATTGAAAGAATTTGAAAAATGTCTGAATTGTAGGAGTATTTTATCAAGGTATACTGCGTATACCATGCAATACGAAATATTTTATTTCAATATAAAAATAGAAAGTAGAAATATTTTAATTTTTCTTATCAAAATATACCTTGTAGCATTGAAAGATTTGAGTAAAAGTCTTACGTATAATATGCGTAAAGAAATTATTTTACTTTGACATGATAAATTTTATCTTCTATTGACAAAATTAATTAAAAATTCATTTCTAACATAAATATTCTATTGATTCGAATAGAAATTCTTTCTTTTAGCAAATTTATACGGAATTATTCGATAGAAGAGCTTATTAAAATTGCTTCGTAAGTCTTATTTAATTGCTTAGAACGAATGAGTCATTTATAAACAGAATTTATATACCTAAATTTCATTTCCAATTAACAAATCAGTCATTAATTAGGCACGATTTTTAATTTTATTTATTTTTCCATTGCCTTTCCTAAAATATACCGTTTTATACTTTCATAAAAATCGATTTTTCTTCTCAATTTTTATAAAATTTAAATCCAACTTATCGTTATTTTCGAAATAGTTTTTATTTTCAATTTTCAACTGATCTTAAGAATTTAAGCACAGTCTACAGATTTACTAGGCATTAGCATACATTATTCCGATTTAAAAATAGTTTTTAGAAACGTTTAAACTTTAACATTATTAAACTGGAAGACAAACAGAGAAAATAAATGCTTTAATTATCCAAATCTGAATTACTATTAATAGAAATCATTGAATTGCAAATGGCAAATATCTTAATTGATTTTAACTGAAGTGTTATTTCAAAACTGTTATAATAAATCAAATAATTTGGCAATAATTATATCTTGGAAGCTCAATTTATTAGGATAATTTGCAATACTTTTTTAAATGTTTTTCTTATTAAAATCTATTATAAAATATTAATTACAAAAATGTTTTAAATTGAAAAGAAAATAAAATATTTAAGCGATAAAAGTTTAAGTTTTCATCCAAGCCAATCGTGTTTATCTGATTGAGACTTGGTACGTAAATTATTCCTATATGAAATGATTACTATCTTGTTAGTCGTTCTAGCTGCACACGACTCCCCATTGTCCAAAGTAATTAGAAAATCGATAAATTACATCTTCTTCGGTAATATGAATATGAGTATTAATAAATTGATTCAGAAATCTTATTTTTTATTATTATTTTTTTAACTTTGTTTTCGCCATTTTAAAACTTTGTATTTTTTCTCCGAATTATTTGACTTGTTTACAATTCTCTTGACTTTTATTCTTACAACTTTTTTACTCTGTTTATGTTATCATTTTTTCCTCTTCTTTCACTAGCTTTTATGTTCCATTTGTACCATTTCACCTTCATATTTCTCCTTCGTCAATGTTGTTTTTTTTTTATATAATATTTTATTTGTAACCCATTCTTTTATATATTTTTTTCTTTAAATTTTAATTTTAGCCTCCATAAACGACTTTCATTTTTCATTCCTTGTTTAATTTGACTTTGCGATTTTCTAGTTCATTAAGATATTTTATTAAAAAATATTATTTTCTTGCCTTTTCTATAATAATGCGTTGAAATACATATCTTATCTATTTACGTACACAAATTAACATTTTTTTCCCATCGATTTTCTAATTATCTCAGTATTTTCTTATTAGTTTCTAAATTTTTTTCAGGAACTAAACTTCTTCAGGCAAAGAATTGAACAAGTTATAGACCTTATTTCCTATCTAATTAGTGAAACTTGGTTAAATTTATAACATAAGAAGAATAAGGATATAATCAATTGTTAGAGCTTATTTTTATACTTCAGATTCTATTTTTTTTGCAATTTTAAATTTTTTCGAGGAAAAAAATAAAAAATATTAAAGGTTATTTTATGTTAAAACTAAAAATATTATTTAAAAATTAAATAATTAATTATTTTTTAAAGTATTTTCCAATCGTAAAATATAAGAGAAAATTTATTTTAAAAATCAGTTTTTCTGTCACTGTCAGTCTAATTTCAAGTATATTTCTTATAGTCTACTGTATAAATAATGGACTATTTTATCAGTAAAACATTAAAAAATATCTATAATTTCTTTTCCTACTTTATCATAAACTTATGAGTTTAAAAAGAGTTTAGTTTTACGAAGATTTATTTGCAAGAAAATTGAATTAAAATATGTATTTTTCCTAGGGAGACGGAATTACTAGAGATTTAAAATTCAATATATTTTTGTTTTTTTCTGTATTTTCATTGAGAATAATATTTTTTTATTATTTTCTACACGTTCGCTTCTAAACTACGTTTAAAAATTTCTGTATAAATCTCTCTCGTGTTGGCAAAAGGCCAATAAAGAGAAAAGACTACATATGACCTTTATGTCTGCAGAAGTAACTTCAACCACACTAATAAAAAATCATGCAATATGTACGATAATATTAAAAAAAAAATTTAGGCTATATAGTAAATGATTTTATAAATGTTAATTGATGTAATATTTTATTACAGAAAAAAAAGCATTGTTTAATACTGTAGAAATGGATAGAGATCAGCAACTGTCTGGAAAACTAGACTATGTTTACAGATAATAGGAAACTACACTACATTGATTTTTAGTTGCCCTAAAGAAAAAGATTTTTGACAGAAAGATCAATTCAAAAAAGGGAACTCACCGACTGAATAGGCATTTAACATTTCTGTTTTATTTTTATTTTTTATTTTTTCAAATGTAACAGGCATGTGCATCTTCTTTTTCTTTATTCTTTGAAGTGAAATGTTGAATGCATTCTTCTTATTCATTTTTAATCCCGATTTTAAAGTTTTCAATCGTTTGAATTTGTATAATTTTGGTTTAAAAATGTGAAATATTTACACTGCAATTCCGATAAATACTTTTGTAGAAATATTAATTAAATTAATTATTTATTTATTAATACAGGCGATGTCTCTAGACAATAATTACCACTCCAGAGTAATTTCATACGTTTAAATGTATGCGTTTTGTTTTAAAAACTATATTTTTTAATGGCAATAAATTCTTCATTTTTAAGCATATCTATAGTTAAATTTTTTATGAAAATTCTTACATTTATTTCCTGTAAATAAAATATCTCAAACATTATCTGATATAATTTACTATACACATGAATGTATGGCTTTCATGAATAATCTGTAGTGTGGAAGTTTTTAATTCATCAAATAGTCGTCGTAGTTAACCGCAATGAATTTTAATTTACTTTATTATTACTCAGTAACTTACACAAAATTCCATAATTAAAAAATAAAGTGAAATAAATAAAAATAATTTATGGCAAAACGTATCTTAATTAAAATTTTGTTCGTATATAAATTAAAATTTTACTTAAAAACTGTGCTAATAACTTGATAATTACATCACTAAATTATAATAATTACATTACATTCGGTAAGGCGTTATAAAATATTCAGAAAAATAATAAGAACACAATTTTCTCGTTAATTTTCTTTCAAAATCGAAGATTTAAGAAAATATTTAAATACAATAATTATCGTTTTATAATGGAACTTCTTAACGACGGCCATATTTTTTTTCTTTTGTTTCCGTCAGTGTCCGTTGTTCACAGGTTTAATTGTATTTAGAAAAAATTATCGGCAATAAATCCGAAAAATGATAAATATTGCGTGTTTAATTATAAGAAGAGAAATTAATTCAGTGATATAAAATTCATGTTTCTAAATAAATAACAGTAGTAGCTCTGAATGCATCTCTGTTAGTTTTCATTGGGATAATTGATTCAGTCTCACTTCATTCCTGTAAAGAGAATGGAAAAAATACTATCATTAGAAATCCTTTTATCTTATAAGCCAGTCTCTTTCTAGAAAAATAATTTTACATTATAATACTCTAAACTTCTTTTCGTGAAATTTTAAATTGCAATTCCTGTTTTAAAAATTAACTTTTTTTTCTCTTTATTAATAACTAAATGCCACTGTATTGATTATATTTATGCCGTTAACTAATTTTAAAAAATTCAATAAAATCTGTTTAGTAAATTAAAAATATATTTAATATTTTAAGATATTTATAGAATATTATAAATTAATTAAGTTTTTTCAAACAAACTTTAAAGAAAGAAGAAAATGTAAGGAAAAATTGCCAAGAAAGGGAGTGATATACAAGTGTATTTGATGATCCGATCAATGACAAATAGTAAAACTATGCCATTGATAAACGAGAAATTCAACAATGAAAGAGAAAAGCAACATTAAAAAAAAGGTGAAATTACTGTATTAAATAAAAAGAAATTTAAATAAAACCGACAAAATAAAAGTCTAAAACTGAAATATATCGCTGAAATAATATTTATAAATAAAATAAAGGATAGGATATACGGAATAAAGCAATGCAACACATGGGCGATTTGCCAAGGAAAGAATGCCTCCTGGGAGGACTTTCTATAGAAAATTGGCACCTATTTAGGTATCAGATACGTAAAGAAAAGTTTATGTAGCAAGCCGTTGGCCAGGCGCGAATCCACGATCCAGTATTTAATGGTTTGGGTGTTCGGATGTTTGATTCAAGTGTTCAAACACTAGTGTTTAATGGTTTAATTTACTCGGCCACTAATGGGCCAAATAAAATAAAGAAAAAGTTATTTTACATTTTCATAAAATGTTGCTTTGGTTATATAATTTTTATACGTGATTATTTTTTAATATATATTTATATTTTATAATGTTTAAATAAAGTAAAACAAGTTTTAAAACTTACATGAAAATCCTTTATAACACGCGTTAACATTAGTAATTGAATGGAACTATCGTATCGGATCAGCGAAGCTAATAAACGGATAGTTTGAGAATGCAACAATTAACGAATTATATAATATTGTATATTATATTATATAACGATTTGATGTTTATTATACACTACAGTATATTGTTTATTATAAATCTTGTATGAATATCTATTATGATTTATAATAATGGATAAATTTTTAATTAAAATGACACAAAAATTAACATAAGTACTGTAAACAAAAATAATGATTATTACTTTTCGAAGCTGTATTTATTATGTAAAGCTAAATCGAAACAAAGGACAAATGAGTACGTATTGTTCCTAACTAAAGTCTTTGACCTAAGTCATTCAATACTGTAGCTTTGGTTTGGTCTCAGTATTGCTCATTGATTGAAACATACGTTTTCATATTGTCACGTTGTTCTCTTTTGATAGTATAAGAAATAGTCGAATAGTCCAATTAAACTGCAACCTGTACCGAAACTCTTATTTCAAATGGCCAACGATACACAATAGGTTAACAAAGTGTCATCTCGTTTATTCCCTACTCTTCAAATTTGCTTTATTGTGGCTTTGAAATCATGAACGGAGACTGAAGACTCGGATGTAACTAATAAACAATAGTTAACTTCACAGTAGTCGTGCTCTAGGGTACTGCAGTTATTGTCCAGGTGATAAAAGTGCTAACTCTCTTGAGATCTAATACAATCCGAAGTGGGTAGATCAGTTGAGCAGAATGAATGATAGGGGGTTATCAAACTCAATTTAGACAAAATAAAACATTAGAAGGGCATTCGGAAGACTCTAATCCGAAGGGAAAACACTAAAGAGAAATTTGATTGCTGTGGGAATGGAACAAGACAGATAGAAAGAGGAAAAAAATTGGAAGGGCTCGTTTCAAGACTTTACTCGTCATTTTTCAATTATGCAAAAGATAATTACGATGAATAGAAATTTAAATAAAATATAAGCTATTTAAAATTAAATAATTTCGCAAATATAACAATATAAAAACATTTACACAATCTGATAGTAATAAGAATTTATTTTGTGTTACAAGTCTGTGCATAGAGGTTTTCAAGTTTTGCCGTTCCCATTAAAAAAAGAAAATAATTAATTAAATAGTATATTGTATATAACTTATATTTATTTTACATCCGTTTCGTTTCTCTTCGGTCTACTATATTATGATATTTTACGTACCTATACAATATTGTAAAAATTAATAAACTGTTACAAAAAATACATTTTAAAAATCCTGTGTTTAGACCTGTTGTATAATTAATATTTTAATAACAACTTTAAAAGTTATATAATCGGTAATATTAATTTTAAAAAACTGTAATACAGTAATTATTATAATAAAAAGCAAAAAGTTCATATACATAAACTAAAAACGAGCAATTATTTATTTTGACATCGTCACAATGCCGGGTTGCAATTTTAATCATATTTTTAAATTTATTTAATTTAAAATATATGCTCTCCATCTCAAATTAGTAGTGGCTTGCCCCTGTACATCATACTTTTCCTTTAACAATAGAGTCGTGTCGATCATCTACCTAACTATTTTCAGGGGTAAAGTTTTGAATTGAATAACATAACTTCTGTTTCAAACTGAAAGATTTTATATAGTTAATCGAGGCTTCCTGCCACGAAGCTTTCTAATCTGGTTTCAACTTTCACGTATCTGATGCCGTTCTCGAGATTAAGAAAGAACAGACGGACGACAGTGGGAATTTATAGGTCTACAATATTTTCAAATTGAAGCCCAATAAAATGCATTTTAAAAAAGAGGAAACGAAAGAGATACAACAGGGAAGCTGGAAACTTTTCTCTAGATTTGCAGCGGTAATTTATCTTATTTTTACTAACAAAAACAGCTTTTTTATTCATAAATAAGTGCTCTACGTACTGTACTTCACTTGTTAAAAAAAACAAAAGCTGCCCGCTCCACACCCGGGCCCCTTAGAAGCTCTAGACAGCCCTGGTTCAAGTAAAATATACAAGTAAGAGTTATAAGTAAAAAAACAAAAAATATCGCCTCTAATTTCAGCTGAATTTCATACACATATTAAGACCTTTTTATAGTAAAATTTCTCAAAATTTTAGTCATAAATTGAGATTATGACCACGGCTTTATCGACGCATTTCCATTTTCAAATTATAACACAATTTAAATATAAATAGTGTAACTACATTTTGGTTAGCAGTTTTAAAAATTAAAACAAGCAAACTATAAAATGCAGGACTAAAAATATCTCATTTTATAACGACAGAATTCTTAAACAGTTTTCAAGAAAAAATAAATATTCATTTTTTCCTTCAAGTGTATTATCTGAAGTAATTTCAGCGTATTAAATTTTGAAAATACTATTTTATAATATTCAAAAATTGGGTACATTTTTATGACTCTTTTGTAATTTATCAAATATTTAATATAGTTTTTATTCTAACTTTACAGTCCCCTGAAGAATATTTTTAAAATTTTAGAAAAATGCAATTTACGTAGTTTATTATCGATAAACATGTTATTTTTATTTAATTTTAATAAGATTTAAATACATAAATTTTGAATTTGCATATTATGACGTTAGATAATTGTTTAAAAATGTTTCTGCAATTTTTATTTTTTAACATTTCTTTACACGCAAACTATTATGAAATGATAATACTGTAATGATATATCGAAATTAATTTACAGTTAAGTTATATATTATTAAAACAATTACTAAATTGAAAAATATGATTATTTTTAGCTTATATAATTTCTTTAATCCGTTAAAAAATTAAAAATAATGAAATTTTCGCTTTACGAAATTCGTCGATTTTCGGCAAATCGTCAACAAAAGCGTATAAAATTCGTTTTTAATGTATTGTGAATTATTTTTTATATTTAATTAAAGTAATTTTTCCAAAAATAATATATTTTATTAATTTTTATAAACAATAAAACATAATAACTATGTAAAAATGTTCTGAAAATTATAAATTTTCATCGGTTATATGCGCATTTTTGATATTATCAACTTAAAAAAATAAGCATTTGTTTTTTTATTTAATTCATAAAAATATTAAAATTTATATTATATTAAGCGATACATTTATTATATTGCTCTTTCGTTATATATTAAATAAATATGTTACATTTATCTCTCTATAAGATCTCGAATCTCTTGTGAACGGGGCAATCTACAAAAGAATTCCAGGGTTTATATCGACATATGCATATACGAGGGAGGGCAGAGAGGCATAGGCCACCTTTACCAAAAATTAAAAATAAACGAATGAATATAAATTGAACAAAAATATCTTCTTTATATATAAGTTAAATAAGTCTTTTTAGATTTATCTGCAAAAAATTTTTTGAAAAAATCAATTTTCGACGGTCCTAATTGTTTTGTATATCACTGTGTCACGTACAGAATCTGAGTATTTTACTACTATAAAATGAGGTTTATTGACCTTTATATGAAATTTTTGATTACGAAACCTTTCTTGAATTTTAATTAACATTATATGAGAGATAAAAACAGTTAAAAAATTAAAATTTCTTTATTATACAAACAACTAAAATTATATAAATTAATCCATATTTTAAACAAAATAATTTCAAATTAGGAATTAAGATCATATACGAATGATTAGTTTTATATTATTTATTTACTGTTAATATAAATAAAAAATGCTAAATGTTTAACGTGTTTATATAAAAATTTTGGAATTTTTTAAATTACGTATTTTTTTATCTTCACTTATATAATTAATATGTGTCATATTAATTATATTTTCTATATAATATTATATTTATCTTTCTCGTTACAGAAAGCAAGAAATTGCATCAAAGACATAAAATAGATATTCCTTCAATCGTAGATTAAATAAGATGTTCTATTTAATCTCTCAATAAATAAATAAAGAAAGATCCAATATCAAATAGAGTGTAAACATATATAAGCAAAATTTAAAATATTAATATAATTCTATCAGTATTTTAAATATTTAATTTCAATTTTATATCTAAAATAAAAGTATCTTTTAACTTAAGTATATGGCAAATATTTAAATAAATTATTTAAACGACATCATTCAATTCGAATCAATACTTTATATGTAAAATATTCCGTATCATCATTGTTTATTAATTAATCTTTAGGAAGCCCTCTGAGTAGAATACCCACTGCATCATCGTTCTTTATTAATTTTTTAAGAAATTCTCTGAGTAGAATATACCGTATCATCATCATTATCATCATCATCTGCAGCAACAGCAGTAGCATTCTTTATTATTTTTTGTAAACCCTCTGAATAGTATATACCATATTTTTTATTGCTCTTTAGGAAACCGTCTGATTACAATAGGCCGTATTATATAACAAAAATCAATAATATATTCTGTTAAGAGATTGATCTGATGGAAAATTAATGTTTTTATGTTATTCATTTCGAGAACAGGAATTTTTATATTTGATTGCCACATCAATTTTTTAATTAAAAAAGAACTGGTCGTAACATATCATTTTTGACAAGAGATAATTTTGAGATTGGCATTCTATTTCCTAAACCGAGACAGAATACGTCTCGTGACAAAATCTTACATGTCGGTCAACCGCTTGTTTTAATGATAAACCATATCAAAATTAATTAAACTTTCCTATTCTGTCGACAAGAAGTATCGATTAAGCCTCCTTATCAAGCTATGTGTGACAAGATCCATAAAATTCTCTTAGTTTATGAGGTCAGCCATATTGAGAATGAGTCGGATAAAACCGGACTTAAGAAGAAAAGAAACGGGATTATGTGGCTAAAACGAAGTGATTGCTCATAAAATTTTAGTCTCTTGTATAAAACGGTATCAACTTAGATTATCGAAACAAATCGTAATTTTTTTTCCACCCCTTAACAGGTAAGAAAATACTCTGAATGAGATGTTATCGTTTATAATGTAATTCCACACTTCGTACTATTTTAAAGCTCTTACGGTCTTATAAAAAAAGAAACTATGTTATAAAATGAGGATAATAATATATTGAGCATCATATTATCCCATTGTAAGGATCATAAACACTTTTTATATTATCCTTTTTATCCATTGACAACATTATAAACATTTGTATTTATAATATCCCCTAGAATAAAGTTATATTATTAAAAGTAATAATATATATAAATTAACTAGAAAAATAATTGATTTTTGAACTTAATACATTATCCATTTGTAAATTTATTTTTTTGTGTTGATCTAAAAAAAAGTGCACAATGAGATTTTATCAATCAAGTTTTCGGGAAAAAAACACTCGACTTACTCTCTCATAGTGTATTTTTATTAAATTTTTTATAACTATTTTTGTTGTATGAACAAATCTAAAAGAAATGTAATCTGAAATAAATTCAGTTATTGCTTATCCGCAAAATAATAAGTATTTCGTGCTGGTTATTTCAAAAACCGAGGATAAATAACTATTTTTTTTACACCAAAACAGTTTTTATTTAAAGAAATACATGAAAGGATCTCAGTCCCAGCAAGTTTATTTAAATGTGGAAAAATATTCGGAAATAGGTCAAAAACAAACGTACAAAATTTTAAAGTCTAAGAGATTTTTTGTGCTCGTAGATTAATCACAAAATTGTTTAAAATGATGTATAAATCTTCAGTAGTATCATGTTCAAATATACGCCTGTAAGTTATTTTTTTAAAAAAGAAAGAAAAATGGAATGAATGAATGTTAATAATGGAATTTTTTTAAAGCGAAACCTCTACAAAATTGTCAGGATTCAGAGAAATTTTTATATTGAAGAATATCAAAATAATGAAACGTGATACTTGTAAAATTTCAAGTATGCTGTAACGAGTTTTAAATTAATTATTAAAAGTTTGAGTATTGATAAAAATAAGGTTTGCAGTTAAGTTAGGCCTATATGATTTAATGAAATCTAATTAAATTTTAAGGTAATAATCAATAAAGAAACGAAAACCTGTGCAAAAAATTACAACTGTTTAGAATAAAAGAATCTAACAAGGAATGCCAATAGCAAATATGTGGAAATTATTTGTCACATAGTGTACCCTCTTTTAAATTCTATTTAGAAAATCGAAGAAGTAAGTGTTTTTCTGAGATTCCGTTGTGTTTCACTTTAGAAATTCAATAAAAATTACGTTTTTCAATAGGGGAAAAAACTACAATATATAATCGATATATTTGACACCATGAGAGATTTCTGAAGCAAAATAATTTAAAATTAATTATATATATGGAAGAATGTCAGACCCTCTGCTGGAATGCTCTGTAGACCCGGAATCGAACCCGGATCCCCCATAGAATCTGTCACACGCTGTCTGTCCCCATCCCTTACCAACTGGCCGCCCCCATTGCGGGCCTAGCAGAAACCACGATGGATATAATTAAACAGGCAAATCTTAGTGCCCGTGGGGCGAAAAGGTAAAAATAAAAAATTAATATCTGTACTTAATGTAAAGTTGGAAAAAAATATAGATGATAAGGAATGAGTAAGAGAGTCTTATCACTTATCGATTTTACAATGTAATATAAACACGTTTAAAATTTTCAAATTCTTTAAAGAACAATTAAAAAATAAAATAAATCTTGGCAACGAAAATTACAAAAATGATGACACTAGAATGATGATATATTTACAACTTTCTCTTCTAATTTCTTTCACTGTCACCTCATTCATCACGTACATAAGTTACGTGAACTATTATTTGACATCACGTGATGGTAGCCAACAACGTCGTGATGAATGAACGTGATTTATCTCGAACTACTCAATACGAAAACAAATAGTTAGATTAATGATTGCAAATATTCCTGAATGAATATACGAAAATCATATGATAATATTGATTTTTTTTTAAACTTTGCGGGTTGCTTACATTTAATTATTATTACTGCCTATCTTTACTTATGTAATCATTCACGATCTAGCATTATCGAAAGCACTTTGCCTGCATTAAGAAAGTTTTTTTTAAAGAGTCATTGATGGAAACAGCTGGTTCTTCTAAAAAATTTATAATAATCTACATTAATCAATTTTAATCGTTTTTTATTGGGAAATTTTAGTCATTAATCCTAACATTTCTAAACCATTCGGGTCAGTTTTATCTAATTTTCTTTTTTATTTTCTAGATAATTTTTTTAAATATTGCTAAAACTTTGAATTAAGACAAAAATCTATTTATTTTACAAAAATCTAATAAGGATAATCCACAAAAAACAAAAAAAAAATCTTTCCTATATTATAACATATAACATGCCTTTCCCTTCTATTCCATTAAATAATGATGGATGTAAAAATGCGAGGCCCTAAGTTATAGACTCATAATGCGAGGCCTTAAGCTGTAGTTTATTTAGCTTATGTACAAATCCGGCCCCACTCTCCACAACAGTATCTATTGCAATTATTAATATTCTATTTTGCAAGTATTGCAATTTGCTGTTCTACTTCAATTACATCTCTGCACAAATTTAATAGGAGAACAGCTAAATTGGCAGAATTACAAAAGTTAGAACTTCTCAATTATACAGATTTATGGATAATTAAATATGAATGCTTGCAATTAATTTTAAACGACGTTACTCTTACAATTTTAGGTGTTTATATTTAAACTATATTTTTTAATCCTGTTATTTTATTTTACTTTTTTCTGATGCCGTCTCTTTACATTAAGCGAACTAAGCCAGATGTTGCTCATAAAATTTAAATTGTGGGAATATTTCCTAATGTTACACTACTTATAATTTTCATATATATATATATAAACATAGGCCAGTTTTTTTATATTTATATATCAATATTTTAAAAATATGTGAGAACCTTTAAGAATGGAATTGGAGTTATAAAATTTGCAAAAAAATAATAAATTTAAATTTTCTGGAATGAATAGTGTGTTTCATTTCAATTTTAAGTGAAGAAAAAATTTGCTATTCTAAATTTTAAATAACAATATTTAAATTTATATTTTTTTAAAAAATGTTTAACGTTATTTAATACAGTTTATTCCGAAATAGAATAAATTAATTTTAATTGTTTAATGCATTAAAAATACTATTATTTTATCTCTAAACATCTTATAACATTTAATAACTATAATTGTTATATAAAACGTGTGATTTTAGCTTTAAAATTGTATATATTTTATAATTTCTATAACTTGTTCATCAGCGGCGTTTTAAAGCATTGGGGTCTTTCTAAGGTAGTGAGGCCCTTTTGTAAAAAGTAGTAGACAACCTGGAACCATAAATTACATCTAAAAAAACTTTCTTTGCTAATAAAAACAAAACAGGTAATTTAGAACCATAATAAACTTTTTTATACTAATAAAAAAACTTTTTACTAAAAATCAGCTTACTTCTTAGTATCGAAGCTAAGCTTACTTCTTAGTATTTAATAAAATAAAGCGGAGTAAATGAGCCTTATTTAAATATTTTGAATTATCGAATCACAAAGCTTTTCTTAAAGATATAAGGGGAAAAATTCTGTTTTTTTTTTTTTTTTAGAGCTGCGAATGGCTGAGCGCTTATCGCTTGAGTCTAAATCATAGCATATAAAAATATTAGTATTTTGTTTTACAGTATATAAATACATAAGTTTTTATGGAAACTGTAACGATAACATATTATAAAGAACAGCATTTGAAAAGTATTAATACAATAAACATGTCTGCAAATTGTCATCCGAAACTCTAAAGTAGTTTGTTAAGATATCAAGTTCAGTTGTTACCCTTTGATATTCGATACATAAAAGATATTGCTGGTATAAAGTATCAAAATTGGGAATTCATTAAATTAAATTTGCCTGTTACTATAACTGTGACCAGCATCGGGTTACAGTACAAGAATCGAATAAAATTAGATTTACTACTGTAGCAATAAACCCAAGAGTAATAAGAACAATAGAGAAATTTAATAATTTGTTAAAATGCACATCTTTATTTTA